CCCCTTTGGTATTGTTTCCTCCAGCCCTGACTGCTCCCTGTTCTCCCCGTCTATCATGTTCTCCAGCATAGGTACATTATACCCATCTCCATTATCAGCTTCTTATTGATCTGGGAGTATACACTGCACTACGCATGCACATTGGAAAATGTTAGAGAAAAGGGAAAATATTTTTTCCCAGAAGAGCCAATAAAAATCTCTTCTACTAAAAAAAATACCTACTTCTTTGCCCCCTAGTTTCTTTCCCACGTAAGCTCTCCCACGTAAGTACAACTTTGTGTTCACTCACTGTGCGAGTGCTGTGAGAAGGCTGGTTAAGGTTTGAGGTTTTTACATCAACAACTGATCTTCAACAGTCATAAATTAATAATACAAATGAATCTGAGTATCCCCATTAAGTCAGTGATAGACATTTCCTACATTCCCATGGGTATATACTGTTGTTCAATGTGAGCAATTTGTTTGCTTGAAAGCCTATATCCTTGATCTGGAGAATCAACTGGCAACACTGTGGAACATGAAAAACCTATAAAGGAGTCTCGACCTTACCCATCAGCTGCTGATTGAGGCCAGTATAGAGGAGGGTAGTGCTTTGGAGGTGCAGGCACTAGAGGTGAGTATACTGAACTCTGAACAGTATGTTGTTTACCGGACACTTGAGTTTGACACATTGTGGATTGGATAGAAAGATTGTTGGGTGGGCCTGAAAGGGACCAACCTCTCATGGTTCACATTGGTACAAGTTACAAAAAGTAAGCTGAAGCATCCTTAAACATTATTTCAGTGCTTTAGATGCTATGTTGGGAATAAAGGACCTCCAAGGTAGTATTATGTGCCACAAACCACACCAGATAGAGAGTGGGAACTTTGAGAGCTAAAAAGTTCCTGAGAAATTGGTGTAAAAGGGGGAGTTTTGGGTTCATTGAGAACTTGGATGACTTTTTGGTACTGGCTCTAAAGTAGAGTTGAACTGCACCTAAATGTGGTAATGGTGAGTTCAGAGAAGACCAGAGAAAAGAGTGCATTAGGGGGCTGGAGTTATGAGGAACGACTTTGAAAATTGAACTCTTTCTCTCTGGAGTAAAAGCACTTAAGAGGTGATATGATTGCAATACAAAAATCTATCAATGATTACTGTATTGATGAAAAGAAACTGTTTATTCTAAGAAGACATGGGGCCGCACCATGAAAATAGATGAGAAGTGGTTTAATCTTAAACTGCATAAGGGGCTGTTTGCTGTTAGTGTGGTAAAAATGTGGAACTTCCTTCCACAGTTAGTGGTATTAGCGGAGAATGTACTGTAGATAACTTTACAAAACTCTTAGATGTCTTTCTCATTAAACACATACTATGGTAATGAAATTGTAGCAATGTACACACACACAAACGTAGAATTGAATGGGCTTGTATCTTTTTTTTTTCAACCTTACAAATTATGTAACTATATATGTAGCAAGCAAAAGACAAAAAAATAGCATTTTAATACTTTCATTAAGGTCCTTATAGCAGTCATGTATCCACTATCTTCATCTCGTCATCAATGCTACCAAGGGCTGGGGTGGAGTATGGTTGCACTTGAATGTCCCTAGGAGCACTGCTCCATCCCAGAGATGGTGTCAGTCAAACAGAGATCATGCACTGATGTGCATGATTACAGGAAATGACTGTGTATTGCCACATCAGCCTGTAACACTGCTGCAGGAAGTGCCTCTGGTTCAATAAAAGAACTAGGGTTAAAGTTTTTTTCCTTAATTGTTGTAAAAATGTAGAAAATTATATGCTTTTGATGTTTAAAAGTACAAGAGAAGCTCTAAATATTTTTTTTTTGTTTTTGGTTATGATTATACATTAATAAGCATGCTGACCTCACTCAGTCTGGACTTTAACAAAGAAGCAGCAGTTTTGTAGCTGTCTCTTGATTTTTTCCTCTAATTGTATGCAGCCAACACTCTGAATCTCTTTTACCTTAAAATCTGCAATAAAAATTCAAGTTATGATAATAGCATCACAGGAGGATTCAACCTGTAAGGGATAAGCTCCATTCCATCAGCTACATGCTTCTGGTGTCAACTCTACCACTACTGCCATTTCAGTTACATTTGGAAAGCCATAGCCAACCTCCTAATCCAATCTAAAATACTTACAAATACTCTTTTCTCCTCGGAGATAGGCACCAACGTTATTTCCTGTTAACAGTGAATCTGTAGCTGGTCACTGCAAGTTAAAGTACATACACTGTCATAACAACAAAACCTCATTGACCATTGTAGCTGCAGGCTCCGTGGTGCAATTCTTCCTCAGAGTTTAAATCAGTAGCACTAATGTCATACAAGTCATTGGCTCATCTACTCATGGCCTCACGCCCTTTCCCAGAGCACTTGCTCTGTGTTTTCTTTAGAGATTGGAAGGCTGGAAAGCTACCAACTCACTGCTGGGAGTGGGAGCGGAGCTACTGAATGAAGTACTTGAGTTGTGAATATTAAGAATGAATTTCTCTGCAGTTCCCATAGCTACAATGGTTAGGGAGGGAATGTTTAAAAGATTATTTACTGGTTGTTAACAATATAAAAATAATCAATTGTGCATAGCCTGGCCACAGATGTAGGCATATTGTGAGGTGTTTTAATGAACTGAAAGGTCTGATTTAAAGGTGATGATATAAGAAATAAAATGAGAGATTACTGAAAAAGGCATTCTTTCTCCAGCTAACACTTGAATTAGAGCTTGCACGGTTAAAGCTCTTGCACGCACCAGTCATTTTCTACTTATACGAGGAGCACATGTTTTATTTTCCTATAAGTACCACAGGAAGAAAGACAAATTAACCTTTACTTCATCTTGCAACCAGCTATTGTATGAAGAAGAACCTAACTTCAGAGGTTTGAACCTTGTTGCTGCTACCCTGGTTGCTGTACTATCAAATAGTTTTCAGTTACCTGTAGGAGGCTCTGACCACAAGAACTACTCACTGCTAAAATGTTGTGTGTGTATGTGTAGGGTAAAACAATTGACAGTTTTTAAAATCAATGCTAATTGTCTCCATGTATAGAATTTCTTTAGGTAAACAGGCATTTTTCAATGATTTCTCCCAAAGTCCATAACTGCTTTAAATGTAAACACATTATACAACACATTTGTGATCAATATAGAGTAGGGCAGCCATTTTGTGAGCAAAATATCAGTGAGAATGTAGCTTAACAATTTACTGGGAGCAACTTGTCATGTCACTGGATAATTAAACTTTCATCTTCTAGAATCATCTTTACTTAAATACTGGTTTCTAGTGAGATGATGTTAACAAAATCTTGGTTAACAACAAACCACAAAGTGGCTGCCCCGACTAAAATGCTTTTGTTTATTATGACCTGTTTTAAACCATCAATATGACTTATAAAAGTATGTTTTTTGAAAGGTGTAAAACAAGATGAGAAAAAGAATGTTTCACACACTCATTGACACAAATAAAATATGAAAAATGCTTTATTATGAATGTAATATGTTTGCAAAAAATGAAATGTATTTTTGCATGACCAAAAATGTCAAAATAAGAATTTTTATGAGTCATGACAGTTCTTACCCCATCGTATGGTCTTCAAAAGATGCTTGCATGTTAATCAGGACTCACTAAAAACTTTACAAACAAGTCTCCATCGGTATAAATGGATATAAACGTGTCTGCAAAAGCAGACTAAATCTTATATCAGTGTATTTCAGAGCGTCTCCTTGATTACACTGTAATTATGAAGTTTTTTTGCTGGTGTGTACTCCCCAAAAGTCTCTGTTTTGTCCAATACAGTACAAACTTTAAGGCAATTTATGAAAGTGCGGCAAGTTTATTAAAAGATGACACATCAGTCAGTTGATTAGTCAGGATCCAAAAACCTGACAGTGTTTGATGGACCTTCATCCGTCTTAGAAGCAAAGGATTTCTCAAGTAATATATTCCAGATATTCCAATGTGAAAAGGCTAGGTCTAGATCACATCTTGGCAAGTATTATTTTCCATAAGAATCAGTTTTTGCAGTTGGACTCATATAAATATATCCCTAAGGGCAGTTGAAATTTACCACATGGGGATTTCCTTGGGCTGAATAGTCAGAAACCTATAGCAGGGGTATTTACCATAGGTATCTATATTGTTTTTATTATTCACTTGCCTAGTACTAAATGTAAGCATGGTGTGCAGGATTAAAAAGTAAAACAATTACTTATTTTAGTAATATAATGTAAAAGGAAAAATGTTATGTATGTTTTTAAATCTTTAGAACTATTAGAGTATATATCAGCACTGATCGAGGCACTTTTACACTTAACTGATTATTTAAAAAATTTGGCTTAAACATGGTTGGAATATCATCTGATGTATAACCACAAAGTTATGTAATCTGTTGAATATCGTTACTGATATCCATAACCACTTTATTATTAATGGGATGTCTGCAGCTTCATTATATTAGTTCTATTACCTTTACTATGAAATATGCAAACATTCTGTTATGGTAGCATACCTAAAGATAGTCTCCATTAAACAATATTGGTTGGAAAGTAAGGAAAAAACTGAAAATGATGTGCTGGTATAGACCGCTTTAGCCATGTCAAGTCAAACTTGATAAAGACTGAGAATTAAATTCAGAGAATTATTTATTTCCTTGACCTCTAACCAAAATTGTTATGTGGAGTGGTCCTAATAGCTACAGAAAGAAATATAGTAGCTAAATTATTACATTCTTAGGCCTTGTTGCTGCTTAGGTTGGTCATATTCTACTTATTCTATCCTTTAGTAAATAGTTAAGCATATGAACTTTAGATGTATTTTGTAGTGTATTGCTGTCAAGACCACCTTCTTCTACTCTAAAGGATTTACCTCCCCTACAAAAGTAAATGTAAAAATGTTTTTTATAAAGTGGACAGTATGGCATAATGACCCGTGATGAAAGAAATGTGCTGTAAATATGCTCACCACACTGCTCACAGATGCCATGAAAGATGAAATTGAAAATTTAATGACATTCATCTTGTTTGACTTTGGTTTCAAGTAATGGCAAATTCTGGGAGCTCACCTCATTGGAAGCAATGGAGAAGTTAGGATCTGGAACCAGTATCCCCGGGGAAGAGGAGCTAGCTGTGACATGAGGTGGCCTCATAAACATAAACTCACTAATATCTGAGACTGGGGAGAAACATGTTCTGACCCTTCGATTAGATGGGATATTTCCAGCACAATCCACTCGGACACCTATTATAGTGTTACAAAGGCTTGGGTGAAGCTGAAACGTTCCATGAAGCTTAGATCCTGCCACCACTGCTTTCTTTTGACTTTGTCGGCAACAAAGGGGGAAATTCTTGTTTTCGCACTTGTGAATTTTAATTCCAAGGGCTGCCAAACCAATTAATGAGATGACAGAAATGACAATTAAACACACAATCAAGTACAAAGTAAGACTAGAGATATTCCTTTTTTTAGAGTGGTCCTTTACACCCTGTGACACCTCTAGGTCTTTGTCTTCTAGGGTCATCATTACTGTAACTGAAGTAGATAAACAGGGTTCTCCAGAATCTTTTACCAACAAAAGCAGCTCATGTAACGTAGGATCAACATCTTGAATAGCACGTTTAGTTTTTATTTCACCAGTTCTCATTACAATACTAAAGAGAGTGGGATCCGTTGCTTCAAGTAAGTTGTAGGAAAGCCAAGCATTTCGACCTGAGTCATGGTCTACGGCAGATATTTTGCTTACCATAACATTTGGTCCAGTGGAACGTGGTATCTTACACTGGGCAACTGAATTAGCTCCAACTACAGGAAAGACAACCACTGGAGAATTATCATTCTGATCAAGAACAAAAACATGCACAACAGTCTTATTTTTAAGAGGTGGGGAGCCAGCATCAGAAACCTCTATTTGGAACTGGAAGTAGTTAATCCTTTCATAATCCAGAGGAAATTTTAGGTAGACCTGTCCATTTTCAGAGTTGATGTATATATGAGATGTGCTACCATAGTCATCTTTAGGATTTTGTAAGATGGAATAAGAAAGCCGTGAATTTTGATCCAAATCAGGGTCCGTAGCTGATACAGTACAAAGTAACTCACCAGCTTTATTATTCTCCTCCACGAAAACCTCATAAACTGGTTCAACAAACCGGGGAGTGTTGTCATTCACATCAGAAACTACAACTGATATGACTTTCACTGTGGAAAGAGGGGGATTACCCATATCCTTTGCAGTTATTGTTATATGGTATTCAGAAACACTTTCACGGTCCAAATGATCACTTGTTATTAAGGAAAATTGATGCTCAAAATCTTCCCTTACAGTGAATGGAAGGTTTTTGTCTACTTGGCATTGCACCCTTCCATTATCACCATGATCTTTGTCTTTTATAGTTATAACAGCAACTACTGTCCCAGGTGGTGAGTCTTCTGGAACTGAGCTAGAAAATGCACTTATAGTCATCTCAGGAGTATTATCATTTACATCAATAATATGGACAATTACACTGCAATGTTCTTCCATGATAGGACTTCCCTTATCTCTAGCTTCAATGTCAATCTCATAAACTGAAATCTCTTCAAAATCCAAATTTCCAAGTACGCGAATTTCTCCTATTTCTGAATTCAGCTGAAAAATATTGCTTAAGGCATCCGAATTGTGACTGCTAAAAAAGTACTCAATCTCTCCATTAGGCCCTTCATCTAGGTCTGTGGCATTAAGTTTAATGACTAAAGAGTTTTTGGGGGCGTTTTCTTTCAGCTGGACATTATAAGAAGGCTGATCGAATGCTGGGTGATTATCATTAGCATCCAGGACTATGATTGTGATCTGCATGGTGCTTGACCTACATGGAACCCCACCATCTTCTGCTTTCAGTACTAGGTGGTGGACAGCTGTCTGTTCTCTATCTAGAGCCTTTTCTAGAACTAACTCTGGAAATTTACTACCATCAGCACGCTTTTTCACAATCAGAGCAAAATTTTCACTGGGGCTGAGATGGTATTCCTGCAAAGCATTAGACCCTATATCTGGGTCTTGTGCATTTGGAATAAGAAACCTAGCTCCAGGGGATGCCAACTCATTTATTTTTAAAGTCAGCTCTTCACTCTGGAATCGTGGGGAATTATCATTAATGTCTAATATTTCCACTTCAATCCTATATACTTCTACTGGATTCTCTATAGCAAATTTCAGATTTAATATACATGAAACACTCTGTCCACAAAGCAGCTCTCTATCTATTCTGTCATTCACCAATATGGCTCCATTGTTTACATTTACAGAGAAATATTGGGAATCAGAATCGGAAAGTACCTGGAGATTAGCAGCTACTAGTTTGGCCACATCTGTTCCAAGATCCTTAGCGATATTCCCAACAATTTCTCCCCTGTTCAGCTCCTCAGGGATAGAGTACCGGAACTGTGCATATGTAAGGTTTACAAGCAGCCACAAAGGAAAGAGATGCAGTATTCCTACTTGCAAAACACGGTAACCTGCTGGATGAATCATTGCAAAAAATGCCTGGTATATCCCTTTTTTCCCCTTCAGCACATCTTGATCACCGAGCGGTTAATCCTTAAGGAAAAAAGAAGGATGCAATCGACGTTGTTTTGTCATTTCTTTTTCCATCAGGCAGAGAGACTACGGTAAAATCTAGCTGGCAACAGAAAGGAAACGAAGGAGGAGCGAGTACATAGCAGCCATTGAATTGTATGCAGCACTGCATTGGCTCACGATATGTTTTAGTGCATCCAATCATCAGCCAGAAAAATATGTTCCCTGTATTAAAATAAGTTACCAGCATTTAAGAGAAGCAAATTCAAATTTTAAAGCTACCTGCTCTTAATGTGTCGCTGAATAAACAGAACAATTAAAAAATGTAACACTCATATTGGAACATTCCATACCGTAACTCTTTACTTGCCAAAATCAAAGACTCACATGCAACACTTCTCTGATTTCCTAGGAGTTTATTGAACAGTTAGTATTGATCTAAGCCAATCTGTGATCTATATAAAATAGAGCAGCTCCAATAAAACAGTCTATAACTATATTCTATGGACAAAGGAACAGCAGCTATGGCCAAACAGTGACAAGAATCTGCAGTGGAATGTGGGTTTTCATCATTTACAATGTGTTTTGGAAACAGAAGAAAACATTACTCCCACAACACAATCTGCTGTTCTCGCATAGAGTGCTAATTAATATACCATTGTAATAAATTAGCAAGTGTCAGCCTAACAGATTTTATTTTAAATCCTGAAACATCAGTTACTCATTCGCTTACATGAGTGTGACACCAAGAATATGCAAGACATAGATAACGCATTACAACAGTAATAGCACAGTATATTGTTCATTTGGAATAATTTAAGCACTATTAGCAGCTGTTTAATGCATGATTCTTGTAAAAAAAATCTGTGTTGTGGTTGTTGAACCTAAAATTTCTATGTAAAATTCAGTAATAATCCTGGATGCGTTTGTTGCTTGCAGTGATTAAAGTTTCTACAAAACAGCAACAAAAAACACTTATTTGTTAGCATAGAAATTTTTGCAAAAAAATACTTAGGCTTCAGTCATTTACTTGGTACTTAAGCAAACAATCATACTTGCCATTTTAGCTCATATCCTTTATAATACAGTCCACAAATAGTCCAGAGAATGCAAGCAACAAACACATGCAGTTTGAGGAGTAAAATCCTGTGATTGTGTGGAAAGCTGACCAAATCCGTTACTGGTCTTCTCAAACAGAAATTGTGCTTCTCGCCCCTGGAGTAGCTATTCTTTAGCAGTGTAAATGACAAGAAAAGAAGAGGAGGGGAGTTATCTAGCCATTCACTGCAAGAGGGGGAAGGAAACAAAGACGGAATTGGACACAATACCCTCCACATGTCAGTTTTACATGGTCCTCTTAGACAACATGAATTTCAATAAGTTCATCATAATGAGCATGTTAAGTGACTGCTTCGAAATGGCTGCTAATAGTAAAAAAGAAAATGCAATAGAAATGAAAGCTTGTTAAAGGATATTAGATTAACTGAGAATTAATATCTAAGACGAATAATTTTCATGGTGCCAAAAGGGAAAAAAAGTAGGATCTGGGAGCTAGATGTACGATTCCATAAATGCATCTTGAAAAATGTATGCATACACACAGGGGTGGGATTATGAAAAAATGAGGCAGAAACATGAAACAAAAGCGGTGCTGTTGTCACAGCAACCAATCTGGCACTTAGTGTAATTTTCACAGAGGATAAAAAATGACGGAAGAATGGTTGTTATGAGCTACAGCTTCACTCTTGCTAAATTTTCACTGTTTTGAATAAATTAGTCGCAAGAATAGCTGCATACTACTATTGACAGGTACTGGGTCTGTTGCATTTATTGTCTAAGAATATTTTTGTTTTTCTTCAAATTCTTTGAATTTTTTATACCTCTCATGAAGAAATCCAGCAACAAGCTGCCTGGAAGACAGGTTTAAGGGTCACAGTGAATGCAGCTGTGGTTCCAGGAGGCTGTTCTGTATAAGTGTGAAATGGTCATCCACCTCACCTGTGCATGGAATATAAAGCAGAGAAAGAGAGATTGCTCCACAAGGAGTGAAGATGTGGTAAACTGAGTTCATTCAAAATTTGGTTTTGTCATTCATTCGGAGAAACTTGTCACATGGTCACAGGTGAATAGAACCTGCTCAAAGTTGTAGGAACTAGAATAGGATGACTAGGATATAATTCCCAGAGTGTGGCATCTAACCACATTTAATGAGAGCTGTTGCTTTCACCATATACTGAAGGTAAAGACTATTGCTTTAGACATTTGCTGTTTTGGCATAGGAGGAATTGTGATTATATATTTATGAAAATCAAAGAAGTTAACAGAAAGTTTATAGAGCTGTGCTAATTCCTAAATCAGACCTGTTGCGATAATAATATCAGTCTACTCAAACATAATATTCAAACTATTTAATGCTTAAAAAAAATCTTTCTATCAATATGGGTATTAAAATTAAATAAAACACATTAAAGTCCACGTGAAGAAAAAAAAACAATCAACATGATTGCCACCATCGCCAATGATATAAGCTTATCAGCACATTTTGACCCTCTATACACAGAGAAGTCATAAAGTGTTTGTATTCAATTTCTCCATGTCATATCATCATTCTCCACCTGCATTTGGTACAGCCCACCAAGTACTAAGAATCCAGGGAAACACTCAAATAGCCACTCCAAATATCAATGCATGGACTCTCAGAGAAAACATAAGACGCTCCACATAGTGTAAAATCTTTAAAAATAACTTTAATATACTTGCATTGCGCTTACATGTTGATATATACAATTACCTATTACACAGAATAATCGAGACGGCATGCAAGGCTAAATGCTGTCACTTCCGGTTACAAGATTATGTCAGTGCGAGGCTGTGTCCGACGCATTTCATTATAAATTATTTCTGGTGCTAATTCCATGCACCTAGTCTATCTTGCCTTATGTGTGGGCTATCAGCACAGTTTAAAGGAGTTCTATGTCTAGTAACAGCATACACTTTCATTCTATAACAGCAGCATTGTAATAGCAATACAAAAAATAGTTATTTTTGTTAATTCACTATAAACATACTTAAAGGATCTCCTTTCATGTTGTGCCTCCTGAAACCTTATCTCAGCACCTCTTTAGTTCAGAAGGCAGGCTCTACAAAATGTGTAACACAGCAGTGCCTACTCAGAGGGCATATTGAATACATGTCAATACATGTCATACAAGACAATTTTATGGTACAGTTCATAGAGGCCTCAACCAGAAATGATGCTCTGCTGGACCTGGTAATCTCAAACCATGCAGAGCTTATTACTAATGTTCATATAAAAGAACATCTGGGTAACATTGGCCATAACATGATTTCATTTAATGTTACCCCCCTTTCCTGGTCTGCCGTGCTGCATTCTGTTTAAAATTTTGGTGTGGGAGTACGCATGCGCGGGCAGCTGGTGTACATGCCCCGGCCTTAAGCTCCACACACCCCCGGCACTAAATCAGCCTGTATAAGGGCACTGAACCTCCTCCGATCCTTGCTCTGGTCCTCTACCGGACCCCGGGGCTCTATTACAATGCTGAAACAGACTGAAGGAAGGAGCCACGGCGGCTCCCAGCACATGATCCCTGCGGTGTGCAGGGGATCCAAAATGGTGCCTGGCTCGGCACCCGCGGCCCCTGCTGCCTCAACTCGGCCAGCACCTCTCCCTCAGAGGGCGAAAACGGGCTCTACCTTCTCCACGGGCTGGGACAGCAGAGACCTCATCTACTGGGGTGAGTGACCCTCCACGGCCCTCCCAGTCACCTTCCAGCCCTGCAATGCCTGAGTCCCAGGCCACGCCCTGCTCACTAGGCCACAATAACCCTGCTTCCTCCCCATTGGATAATGAGATAGCAGCCATCTTCTTTAGTCAGAGCAGTGGCCTGGAACCTGACTCTGATAGCCCTAATCACTCGCCCGCACTCCTTCCAGATTCGCCACAATACTCAGGAGACGAGACCTTGATCGCTCATTTTGCTGATTTACTGCAACGTGAATTAGAGCTACAACTAAATTGTCGGCTTATCTTAAGCAAGATTTTCAGGAATTGTTCCAACGCCTGGACAGTATGTGAATCTAAACTTGATCCACAGTGTATCCCAACATTCTAATATGATCACCAACCTACAAGACCGGCTGGGGGAAGCTTTCTCTAAAATCGATGATCTGGAAAATCGGGCTATATTCGAGGGCTCCCTGAGTCAGTTAAAGAGTTCACAAACTGTGCCCAATCCCTTGTGCGATCTGCCATGCCTGATATTGATGATCTTCATATGGAAATTGATCGTATACATAGAGCATTGATCCCCCCAGACAGGGAGGGCTGCCCAGAGACCTCATTGTTAAGCCACATTTTTTCCAGGTCAAGGAAGCAGTCATGAAGTATGGCAGGGAAACTCCAGAACTGGAACTTGCGGGACATAAAATACAAATATTTGCAGATGTCTCTCCGACCACTATCCAGAAGCAGCGGTTTATAAAGCCATTACTTTCCCACTTGGTACAGAGGGATATCCGTTATCGGTGAAGGAATTCTTCTTCAACTGGGCATTAGCCCCTCATCTCATTCCCTAGCAAGATCTGCTTCTCGGCCTTCATTGCTTTCCCCATTGTGGACTGCTCCGAATTCCAGGAAGATGAAATCACCAAAAAAAACTTCTTGAGGTTTACGATTTATTTTGTGGTTTTTGTAAGGTGGTTTATTGATATGTAGTGGCTTCTCAGTGGTTCCTTGGGAACATTAGCCACCGTCGCTCAGATGTCTTGGGAGGAGGGGGGTGGGTGCGGTACTGCCCCTTGGTGGGGTTTTTCTCCTTCTCCCCCTTATGTTAGCTATGAGGTTGTAATAAGTCCGTCTGTTGAGTAATAGTATTATGGGGCTCGGTTACTTCAATATAGCAATATGTTTATAATGGGTTATTGTTTTTGTTGGT